AGAATGAAGCTTGATATACCAAGTCTTCAAATTCTAAAAACAACAAGTACACCCATTGGCCCTCCATGGACAAAATGGCCTACGTACGAACAAGATGGAGAAGTTGGCGGAGTAAACTTGCAAATGGAGAGCCCGTTGTGGCAAATGGGGAAATTTTTCTTCATAGTTTGTTTTCTATTGTGGTTGAAAATGTCATAAGATATATTTTTACGGACTTCTTGTCTAGTTGTCTCCAACTTTTGTTTTATATATTTTAAGCTTATTGTTATAAAGCACAAATACATTTATAAACTCGATGTGTTCCTGATTAACACATATGTCGTTATTACCTTTTATAGTGGACCCCCAACTGGGAATCTTGCCGTCAGCCTTCCCCACATTACCTTAATAGTCTTTGTCTTTAAATTTGTTTTGCCTAGTGTTAATGTAGCCATTTCCACGTTCTTATGCTTACTTTTTGCATGGTATATAATTTTGGATCCTCTTACTATCAACTCATGTGAGTCTTTATTTTTAAATTGCATCTCTTATAGACAGCAAAATACTTGCTCTTTTCCTCATGCTGACAATCTGTACCTTTTAATGGGAGTTCATGACCCATTAATATTGAGTGTAATTTTTATATGGTTAAATTTAGGTTTATCCTTTTACTGTCTTAGTCCATATAGGCAGCTATAACAAAATACAGTAAAACCTCCATATAATGGATTAATTCAGGTGAGGGGGTGTCCATTAAAGCTGAAAGTTCGTTATATAATAAAATAGGTTTTCTGAATGCATGTTAAAAATTTGACAAATTAGTTTACCTGTTTTTACTTATGCAGACACGTTTGTGTAATTAAAATTAAGTATTTATGAAAAGTTTAATATCACAAAAAAGTTTCCTATATGTATTACTGTAATTTTAAGTTTATATTGAATAGGTCTAGTTAGTAGATGCCTGCATTCACCAGTCACCGAGATCAACCAAACGCACACGGCTGGGGCCTGGCTTAGCACAGGCCCGAACATAGGCCCGCACCCGTTAAAACTGCTGCAGAAAGTCACACCATCGACAACAGAGTCAGTTACCGCTGGAGATGCAGTGTGATCACGAGCTAATCATTCCCCGGACGGACATTGTTTACCAGTGGTGACTCTTGGATTTAAGTATGTAGACTAGAGTGGTAGATATGTAATATTTATTTATGTCAGCGAGATTACTAGTGTTGTTTTTTTCTCCTGGGATTCCCCAATACACGTGTCAGACCTTTTTATATTGTCCCACAACTCACCGAGGTTCTGTTCTGTTGGTTTTTCTTAAATCTTTTTTCCTCTCAGTTTCTCAGAATGGATCATTTCGATTGATGTATGTTTCACTAAGTAGTATGAAGCCTTTAACATTCATACTATTAAGAAACACCAACGTTAACAGAATGGACTGAGAAGCCAAAAAAGGACTTGGCTCAGATGCTTCCCTCCTGAGCAAGGGGCTTCCTTGCCCCGGACCCCTTATCCAGGCCCCTTCTCCACTGGGGTCCAGGGTACCTACTGCAGAGTGGCTGAATCTGGGCTCACTGCCCTCAGGGAGCCGTTCCTGCCTGCAGCGATGAGGCCAATTCTCTCAAAGAAGGTCCTGAGCCTCCGGCCACAATAAAAGGAGGTGGACGGGGAGAGATGGCCCTGTGTGGATAGCAGCTGACTGGTGTGTCCGCGGACTTCTGTTATATTACTCTGTCTAGGCTGGCTGGGCATGTGTTTGAAATTCTTTTTTTTAACAAAATATTGAAAATCCAGTAGGGAAATTTCTTTCCCTATCCAATTGTGGGTTTATCAGTATTTCTTCATTAGTCTATCATTTTGGCTGACTGTAGTAATGCTCCCACCAGCCATAGGGTAACTCCCAAACGGTTAAGACAATTGTGCATTGTCTCCCCGCCTTTATTTTTATAGCCCTATTACAACTACATATTCAGAGCACAAGGTCACTCCCACTGCAGTGGATGTGGAGTACACTCCCGGAGCCCCCCTCCCGGCCTGCTCTCACTCCCCTCCTTTGGTGAAGCTTGGATGCCAATGCTGTCTAAGAATTGCCCAAGGCCAAAGGAGCTGCCTCACCCAAGGTCGCTCCCAGCACACATCCAATTACTACCAGCTGATGTGGGTGCAAAGGCCCAGCCCCTTTCTAGAAATTAGCTTGCAAGGGATCTGAGCTCAGCCCATTCCCTCTTGTATGAGTTTTCTTGGACTGCTGCAATAAATTACCAAAAACCAGATAGCTTAAAACAACAGGAATTTATTTCCTCATGGCTCTGGAAGCCAGAAACCCAAAATTAAGGTGTCAGCAGGGTTGCGCTACCTCCAATGGCTCTAGAAGAGGTCTCTCATTTCTGGCGCCACCTTCACATGACTTTCTCCCGGGTCTATGTCTTTCTTCTGTCTCTTCTATTTTTTAAAATATATTTTTATTGATTTCAGAGAGGAAGGGAGAGGGAGAGACAGAAAGATCAATGATGAGAGAGAATCATTGATGGGTTGCCTCCTGCATGCCCCACCCTGGGGATCAAGCCCACAACCCAGGCATGTACCCTGATTGAGAATGGAACCATGACCTCCTGGTTCATAGGTCAACGCTCAACCACTGAGCCACGCCTGCCAGGCTCTTCTGTCTCTTTTTAAGACATTTGTCATTGTATTTAGGGCCCACCTGGATATCCCAGCATGACTTCATCTCAAGATTCTTAACTTCATCACAAAGACCCTTTTTCTGGAAAAGGTCACATTCACAGGTTTTGGAAGGTAGGGTGCGCACATATCTTTTGAGGGGCCACCATTCTCCCCACTACATTTAAAAAAATATATATTTTATTGATTTTTTACAGAGAGGAAGGGCGAGGGATAGAGAGTTAGAAACATCGATGAGAGAGAAACATCGATCAGCTGCCTCCTGCACACCTCCCACTGGGGATGTGCCTGCAACCAAGGTACATGCCCTTGACTGGAATCGAACCTGGGACCCTTCAGTCCGAAGGCCGATGCTCTATCCACTGAGCCAAACCGGTTAGGGCTCCCCACTACATTTTGAGAGCCCAGGCTCATGCCTGCCCAGCCAGCGCCCCCCCCCCACCCCCCAGTGAGAGGACAAGACTGGGCAGCAGGGTCCACAGACAAGGGCCACAAGTGGTCTCCCTGCCTCTGCTCCAGGGAAATGACCTGAGCTCTGCTCCCCACAGCTAGAAGCACTCTAAGTGGGTGTCTCGGGTCTCCCCCTAAGCGAGGGGGCTGCTGAGGGCTTCTCCCTGAGGCCCAGGTTCTCCTTGTTTTGTAATGAGAAGCGGAGAGGAGCCCAGCTCCTGCTCAGTTCCCAGTGGCCTGGGGCTGGGGGAGGGGCGGACCATGCAGGGTGCCTGGTTTTCCTGGTTGCTTTTCTCTGACAGCCTTTTTCAGATTCCCAACTTTTCGGAAACTCATCATTGCCAAGACAGCATGTGTCCCCAGTCAGCCCTGGATTTCAGTCCTGGTTCTGCCACGTGGGTAAATAGGCACCCAAATGCCTACTCTGCAGACCAGCTTGAAGGCTTGCGGGTCACATGGGGGACCTGAGGGAAAGAAGTTGAATCCAGCAGCTCTTCACTCCCTGCTCTCATCCTCTCTCCCCTCCACCTGCCTGCACACGGCCCTCCCCCAAACCCTCTCCCTGCCCCTCACTTTCTCATCTCTGCCCTCCTGGCTCAAGTGGCTTGGTTTCTCTGCCGCTAGCTGCCCTGCTAGGGGGAGGGGGCGTTGGTAGATCCCAGATGGAGGGGTTGATGACTGGATGGACGTAAAGCCCATGTTGCCCCTCCTGTCCCCTTGGGGGGGTGTGGTGGATCGAACACTGAGACCAGAGCCCTAGAAGCATCCGGACCCGGACTCTGAGCAGAAGTGCTCCAGGGTCCGCAGGGAGCCAAG